AATACCGAGTACACGCCATTTTTTAGTCAGACTGCTTCCTACTATCGCTGCTACAAGACTTTGTGCTGCTCTGTCCTCCTGTTTGTGCTGTTTTACTCTTGCCTTTGTTAGAATAGTTATGACATCAAAAGCCTAAATTTAACCTTATTTAAATTTAAATCATTACTGGATATGTAATTTGAAGAACTTCATCTAAAGTAAAAATGATCTGTCGTTTGAATTGAATAAAGATGCGGGATCAAAACAGCTAACTTCTTCTTCGTCGTCATTGGATTGGTCGTCACTCAGCGAAACGCCCGCACTCTAATGCCAAGCTTCGTCATTTTTGTGCCTACCCGCAAAATCATCACATATAAATTTAAGAATTTGGAAATTACGAAATTAAGATTATTAATTAATCAAGTCGTCCACTATGCTGCAGCGATAATAATAAAATTAATACTGCTGCCTAATTAACTAACAGGAAGAACGCAAATTAAGACTGATTCAAAAGCAAAACAATATAATAAAAAATACAAAATAAAATAATAAATATAAAATAAAGAATAGTTGAAAATTTTTTCGTCTTTTCAACGAAAGAACCAAACGAAAATTTTTCAATAGAGCCAAGTTTCTGAGCTATATCTGCATAATTAACAAAATAAATTCATGAAAAAATCAAAAGTGAGTGTTTAAGAAATAATTTTAATGTAATTTTAAATAATAATACATAAAATTAAACATCAATCAAAATAAAATCTGCTTCAGTATGACACTAAACAAATCATATTGTATAAAAATTAAAGAGTAAAAAACTAGAATTTACCAAATTAGAAATCAAGAAAACCGTTTGATAAGCCCATAAGTTTTCAAAAAATGCTTAATCAAAGAGATTGTAAAATGCTAAATATATGTTGCAAAGCAAAAGTAATTAAATTTTTAAAATCAAAATTTCAGGAACTGAAACCAAATTAATTTAGAATGTAACTAACCTAAAAGTAAAGCAATTAAGAACTTTTTAAGATCATTTTTCCATTAAAAAAATTTCCAAAATGAGAAAATACGGGAAAGGTAAAATAAATAAAGGAAAGCAATAAGCCTAAATTTGATTATGGTATGAAAATGTATTCGAGAAACAATACAGAGGGTGTTTATACATTTTTAGAACGATTTCGGGACCATTTGATTAACATTTAAAAGGTAAAGAGTATTGTTTAAATGTATGATCTGATACCCTTTTTTCTGGACTATAAGTCTGCGAAGCTTGGCATTAGAGTGCGTAGTGAGCTTTTTCTAATATTTCCAGGGGTATTGATTTCCATCCTTTTTGCCCTACTTTTCAGAGTGTATCATTAAAGCTCTTTTCCAGATACCAAAAGTACAATAGTCCACATACAAAATATCAGGGGACTTCGCAGGAATATGTTGAAAAGGCATGCATGCATTACTTGCATTTTACTTACTTGTTTTTTTTCCCCCCCAAGGGGTTCAGGGGTACTTTTCGAAATATGACTTGTTGCTTTGCCTTGATGAATTTTCACAGTTTAAAATTCATTGGGATTACAATTTCTTCTGTAAACATCGGACGTAAACTTTCTCTCGATAGTTCTTTGAGTTGATTTTAACAGTTTCTTCCTACTCCTCTTATTTTTTATTTCCTGTTACAACAGAAACCTGTGACCATAGTAATCCATTATTGAAACTTTCTTCGCTTTCACGGAATCAGGCTTGCACTTTTTCTTTTTTCTTCTTTTTCAATACTAAACCTGTTTCTATTGTAATCGTTTAGATAAACACATGCTTCATCAAGGATCACAACGTATTTCTATTTATTTCCTGGTAAATGTTTTTTCATACAGGGTTCTACGAACTGATCTGCGTTGGGCCACATGCCTCGGCAAAAACTGGTGATCGTTATGTTGTTCAGATTTTTGAAATTGTAAATCTTAATTTATCATTTTATGTATTGCTGCTACAGATTTATCTGAAGACTTTGCAATTTATTTCTGCATCGGCGGATTTTCTCTTGTTACCAAAGATTTTACTTTAGAAAAAGTACGCATCTTTTCGGATATTCGTTTGAGTCTTCTTTTCATGTTGAGTTCTTCCAATTACTAGCAGTTTTTCTCTTTTCGACTAATAGTGTTGCTCGTTTTTCACCTAGACATTTTAATATCATGTATTTCAGAGCGTTTCTGAATTATGGAATAGCAATATTTCTCTTCGGAAAACTCAAAAACATATCCTTCAATCCACAGCTTGTTAACATACGACATATTGAAAGAAGAAATTTAAAAGTAAATGACGATATTTCTTATTTCAAATAATAAGCTTTTGGCAAAAATTTTTATTCCAAAATATTTGTATTTTTTTTAAATTCTTTATCGCAATCGTTTTAAAATGTATAAACACCCCCTGCGCAAAAGGCAATAAGCCCAAATTTCGAATAAAAGAATTAATTAAATAATAAACCGAATTAATTAAATAGTAAAACGAACGAGAAAAAGAAAATGAAAAATATGTAGAATTAGTAGTTGCTTCTTACATCTACTAGTATCTTGCTGCGTGAGACGACTGTAAAGAAATGAGACGGGATGGAATGAATTGAGTCTGGTTGTTGGAACGTAGTTGGATAAAACAGATATTAAAAATATAAGAACTGAGTTGAGTTGGGTAAATGTTGATGCAAAAGTGAAGTTGCTATAGTATACAAACTACACTATAGCATATAAGTTGCTACAGTGTAGTTATTATATACAAAATTTTTAATAAAAATTATTTTTTTTTAAATGTTAAAAAATGAATAAAATGTAAGTTATATTTAAATTACAATATTTTAATAATTAAATTACAACAATTAAACTTCAATACTTCGAAAGTTGTAAATTTCGAAAAAATTTTTTAGATTATTTTTGTTGAAAAAAAATAATGGTCTGCCTCTAGGTAATGAGTAGAATGGAGAAGAGAAGGAATCATTTTTGCTTGTACCTTTTTGCGTAGCGTTAAGTTTTAATAAATTTGAAATTGTTACGAATCCAGAAAATACCTCCAAATTTGATTTAATATTTCCTATCATAAGTAACAAGAAAAATTAGAACGATCTAATATGTAATTTTTGTAGTCGTAAATTAATGAAATTAAGAGGAATTTTATTATTAGTAAGTGTAAATTAAATTGAACCACCGAAATTTTTTTTAATTCAAGAAGGTACCAGGGGAATGTATCAAAATTTATATTTTGTGATTTTTATAAAATTGATAGCTTTAAATTTAAAAATTTGAAGTCATGAATCTTTGCATCATTTAAACCACTTTTATAATTGGAAATATATGTTTACGACCAACGATTGCTAAAATTATTAACTTGGTTTTATTCGTTATTTTTCTCTCATTATTTTCTGCCCATTCATTTGGAATAAAGTAGGGTTGGCTGGGACTGTATGTAACAAACACTCTAGGGCCATCAGCCAAAGTAGATGGATATTTCATGGAGGCTATTTTAAGGTTTAGATTAGGTTAAATGATGAAGGTAAAGTAACTCGAGGCCTATAGAGTGGGATGCCTTCGTTCGTAGTCATGTTACACGTGAGGAAAATCACGAAAAATAGCCATACAGCGAGCCTGTTCGCCAGGATTCGATCCCAGGCCAAACTATCAGTTTTGAGCTACTTTAAAGTTCAGCCGCTAGTGGGCCTTATTTTAAGAGAAACTAGCTTTTACACATACGGAAAACAACGAAAATTATTATGTAACTATCTCCTTTGCCAGAATTTACGCCTGGATTAAACTATCAGTGCTCAACGATTTGGCCGCTCGATCGCTGCTTGGACACTCGAATAAAGTAGGTTTCAAGCAATTTCCCATACACGTATTCTAGTTTCCGTACACGCACTAAATAAACCATTTTCACTGCATTTTCTTTATTTGTAAAATTTGTGTTTCTAAATCCACTCCTACTAGCAATTAAAATACGATTTCACGAATAAAAGAAAGAATTTCGGCTGATTTCTTAGAATGAAGTAAATAAAACTTTCTATTTAATTAGAAAAATTTAGAGCACAAATTGTGTATTTCCAACAAATCCTTAAGTCTAAGAAAATTTTCTTGGTGTAGGAACATATTTCAAGCATTAAATTCAAATGCAAACTTTTAAAACGGCAACGTCTGAAAATCCCTATCTTAGATAAAATAAATCATGCAAAAGAGACCTGGGTTATTCTTCTAAATATTATTCAATCAAAATCATGCTTAAAAAATTGCAAGCTGAAAATTCCATATTACCGTGTTTAATTCTTCGAAGAGTCTACCAATAAAGTTTCAAAAAGCTATTAAAATTTTAAATTAAATATGAACTATGATAAAAAAACTGCAATCGGATTTTTGCACATATATTTCAGTTTAAAGTCTTAAATAATCAAAAGCTAAATAGTTATGATAACAAGACCTACTACTTCAAGAATTAGTCCCACAGAAACTAAAGATGTAGGGCATAAAATCTCACATTTAAAATGAGCATAATTTCAAAATAGCAAAGCCGAATCGTAGGAAAATATTTTGCTATGTTATTATTTCATCCTAAACTAACGCCGCATGGAGACTTGTGTACCCATTTAATAAATAAAAAGCTTAATCATTCAAGATGTAGCTGGGCATTTAATTTCACTGGATCACTAGCACACAAAGCTTGCAATAAATTTTCCCTTCAACGGCAATCCTTTGTATTTTGTCAAAACGGGAAACGAAATGAAAACAATAAATACTTCTTCTCAGACGTTTCTTCGATGTGTTGCAAAAAATGCCATGTTATACAATGTCAGAATTCAACATATTTTAACAGCCAAATTTATCTTTTATAAAGAAAATCATTTAGTGCAATGCAGCTGAATAAAAAATATTTTGATATAGTAAGTTTCATAAACCAAAGCATTTCAGTAAATTGTAAAACTAAATACAACTTATTTATATATTTCTTATATATTTAAAAAACGCGTGAAAGAAATACAGGAAAAAATAAAACCTTACCACTATAGGAAAAACCGATTAGACTGATAAATAGGTAAGGGTACAACGCCATTATTATTCTGAATAAGAGAGAGAAATAATTGATAAAGTAAAGCTGCATTTATATTGAACATAACGAACAGGTGAATCCTTTCGAAATAATGGAGATAATATTTGAATATTCTCATGGTTTTTATCTGCCAGATAACCAAAAAAGACTTGATGTTACGCGAGTTCTATGTCTAATCATTTAGAATGCCTTAAACGCTGATCATTTTCCTTCGTAAATATTTTATGTATGATACAGGGTTCGTATACATTTCTTTAAATGAAAATTAAGGACTTTTAAAGATTTTTCAGGTCCATCAACGAAAAGAATTAAGAACAGAACTAAATAAAAGCAGTTACACATGCAACACCTTTTATTCTTGCAATACCGATATAAGAAAATAATAGAAGTATGTAGAATTGCATTATAATTAAATCACTACAATATTTAACACAACTGTGTGAGTAAATCTGAGAATAAAATTGATTCCCTTGTAAGATTTTCACTAGTGTAATTCTCAGTTACCGTAGAAAGTGACGAATCTTAAGAACTAGTTAGCGAATAATCGCTTAAGTTCGTGTGACAAGAAACAACAATATGGAAGGGTAACTAAACCTTTATTATTCCAATAAGATTTAACAAAACTCCGTCTTGGAGTGTACAATCAAAGCCGACACTTGGGCTTGAACTTAAAAGACTAAAATTGAACAAAACTAAGATTAATTAAAGAAATATAGCCGAAGCTATCAAAATTCAAATCGAGTTGGCCCCTTAACTTTATTTGACTACAAAGCTTATCAAGGGCCTGAGTACGGCCGAGCGTAATACGTGAGAGAGAGTGGCCAAAAGGCAGACGCGCGTAAATCAGGAACTCTGATTCTTCCTGACTCTGTAAGTAACTTCGCGGTTTAAATACCGCTTCTCCTCATTAAATCTTCAGAAAAATTCCAAAACTACTTCCGGTGAAGTGAAGTAAGAATTGACTGAAAGAACTTAAAATAATGTTAAAATTACAAACCCACCTAAAGTTTCAATAGTAGACCTCACGAAATATATCTTATCTTAATTTAACTTAATATCCCCCCCTTTTTTTTTTTTTTTTTTTTTTTTTTTTTTTTTTTTTTTTTGAAGATTTATACTCGTTTGGGGTGAAGAAAAAGAAAACGAAGCACCATGAAGAAAGTGATTGTTTATACTGAAATTAAATATGCATAAAGCTCATACGCAGGTAATGAAATGATTAAAAATTTAAGGCCATAAGCCCCCATCAGTGGCTACCAATTACACACTGACTGTTTAAATCAGTTAATTGAGGAACATCCCTGGCGGCGATGCATGCTTGTAAACGGTGGCGAGCTTGAGATGAAGAGTGATAAAGATTCATAATTACATCCTGTGAAGCATTCTGCCAGGCATTCCTCAATTGTTGCTCCAGATCTGCGGCATTTTGAGGTAGCTGAATCTAGTAGCCTATCAAGCCTACAAATTCGACTGGCGAAAGGTCTGGTAACATTACAGGCCAAGGAAGAGTAAACAGCTCGGAGACAGTCCAGATAAAAATAATCTCAGAGAACAATAAGCAATTCGTAAATCAAATTTTTGAGGAAACATGTACGCGTTCTGACGTAAAACGTTTTAAAATAGTCCCTTTTCAACCACAGTCGAATATCGCACAGGGGGTAAATAGGAATGTTGGACTAAAATCCGCCAAACAACATACCATTGGTAAAACACTGACTGAATTATTCCTGAGTAGGGACCGGATTAACATATTCTAGGACCCTAGACATTTTTTCCTGCCGAGTCCCAACACCTATGTAATTTTTACGAGCACTTTCTAATAAAATAATAAGTGATAGGTATGTAATAATAATTAACAAAAATAGTCAGTTTTTCAAAAATCCTTAACACACTTTCCATCGTTAGTATAAACATGCGTTTGATTACCCATCAATATAATCGATAGAATTGGAACCTTTGTACGTCAAAAATTAAGAAAACGAGATATGTTGTTAAATGTCAAAACCATAGGTTTGACATTTAACAACATATCTCGTTTTCTTCTCGTTCAAAATCTTTATCTCGTTCTCGTTTCTCGTTCAAAATCGCGCCAAGGCTGCACCGTATACTAGGATTTTACCATGCTTACTTGTTTTTAGGTTTAAAATGTGTATGTTTGTATATCTAGTCGTATGTATTTCAAAATACACAATTGATATAGTACATTGAAAATATGTTTTTTTACCTTGCAACATCCATGATGTCTTGTTTATAACTGTGCTTGTAAAGGATACATTAAAATTTATTTCTGACAAATGTTCAAGAATGAGACAAAATTAATATATAGAATTTAAAATATTTATTTAGTTACTTACATTTGAGAGAAAATTGCACATATTTTGACAAATTACCCAATATTCAGTCATTTCATTTTTTATTTATTTTTCTACATTATTATTATTAAATCAAACATTATCTATATCAGGAAACAAAATTTAAAATAGTAAATGTTAGAACAAAAGGCATCATAAAATCATTTCAATTTAAATTTAGCTTTGAAGAAGGTGATAGAAAAAGTTTCATATATCATACTGATGGAGCATGTATAATCTGGTATACATTACTCTAATGTAGATATAGCTTACCTAATTCAATCGCGCAATATCACATTTTAATCAAATGTAGACTTTTGAATTTTTAAAAACAACTTCTGGTACTCTTCCGTTATTGGTACTGGATTCAGAAATGTATGTATGCCTATGTATATGTACATCCACACATAAGTGCATGCATATCTACATTTCTGAATCCAGTCCTGATAAGAGAAGAACACCCAACTACTGAGCAATAACATTGAGTTTGCAAGTACATTGCAAACCTACACAGCAGGAATAAAATAAAACATTACAAACCTACAAGTTTACTTTTTATAAGATATAAAAGTTGAGAAACAAAACAATGCCAAAAAAAAAAAAAAAAAAAAAAAAAAAAGCATGATACCTCCAATTGACAAAGTCAAATAAACGATGTCATAAGTGATTTAAAAATATCATCTAACTTTACCTAATTTTTAACCATAAATGAAGAGAAATTAATACGTAGAATTAGAAAGTAAAAAATTAATCTGACTACGAACAATTATGATTCCCAAACAATCTCTATATAACAAACAATTAATAATGAAAGGAAGGTTAATTAGTTAACAAACCGTTCATTTTTATGAAGAAATAACTAGTTTTTAAATTCATATCGTTTTTAAAAATACTTTTTGTAAAATACTGTGGCAGAAAAGATTATTCTACACAGTAAGAGTTAAGTGCTATCTGTTCACATTGCTGAAGAAGCAAATCCTGCTATTTGAAGTTATTTAATATATTTCTTAAATATTATTACAGTGCTACGAATTGCACTGAATACTGATGCTAAACCAAACGCATCATAAAGTTTTATCGATTCCAATTAACATGATTTAACAATTCAGATAAAAAGTGGCCACATAGTTTCTTATACTGTTATGTTTGTTTTCCACGTTGTAACTCAAATGAAACACATAATGGAATGTTTATAGCCTGACGTCATAAACGGCAACCACTAAGGACAGGGGTGGTGGCTGGGGCCAGGCGCTTGTAAGCAGGGTCCTCTTTTCGTGAAACACCATATGGTATATCCATCCAGCACTTCGCGCCCACATATGGTGTTTCGCTTGGGAAAAGGAATTTTGGGGTGCAGTAAAATTGCTGATAAGAGTTTCCAAGAAAGAAATCCAAGCCTAGGGCAAGGGGTGAAAAACTTTCTGAACCAAGTTAATACAAAAATGACTTTGGGAAATTAAAAAATGAAGCTACTAATTACACAACATTATAATTCATAATAAAAATGTCAGCACTGTAATAATTGTTTCTTCAGCCACATTTAAAGTATACACACATATTATCCAAACGGAAATACAAATACAATAATTTATCCTACCGCCAGTCAGAAAATATGTATTCGTTTAACTTTAAAAGAAAGAGAGATACAAATTAAGTTACTTAAGGTTAAGAAAAAAAATTTAACGCATCAAAAGTGCAACAGCAAGGCTTTAAATAATTAAAGTTAAAAGTTAAACAACCTTAAAGGTCAAAACAACAAGATACAAAAACCAAAAATCTTAAGTCCCTAACTCAAATTAAAAATTAAACAGCATCCACTCAAGAAAACTTTTAAAGCAACCTAACCAAAATCAAAGTTTACAAAAGTTACAGTTTAAACTTACAACCAACTTTAAACAAAACAACAAAAAAAAAAAAAAAAAAAAAAAAAAAAAAAAAAAAAAATTTCAATGCAGATCAAAACTAAATAATAGCAAAACAACTTAGCTGAAAAAAAAGATAAACTTACAAACCTCCAGTCGATTTCGAAAGAATCATAGTTTTGTGTGATAATTTTCGTTATTTATGTGCTATGTATTCTTAGTTTATTTTTTCGTGTTTAATGAATTGTTTGAGCTGATTTTAAATTAATGGTAATATTTAATGTTAAAACTTACGGACAGACAGGCAGACAAAGTAGACAGATGTCTTTTGTGCACCCGCTAAGTCTTTCTGCACCGATGGGCGAAAAATCAAGCATAGGTGCAAAGGAAAGGTATATAGAAAGGGGGGCAATTTCGTATTTCAGTGGAGAGTAAAAAGGAACTTCGTATATTTTATACGAGTTCGAAAGGCCAGGAAGAAAAGATAGGACAAATTAAAGTAAAAAATAAATGGCCCAAAAATAATGGAGAGGGAAAAAAAATTATGTTTATAATTAAAAAAAGGGGGGGATATAGAAAGAAAAAGGAAAGGAAGTAGAGAATTTTGTAAAAAAAAAAAAAAAAAAAAAAAAAAAAAAAAAAACAGGATGTGTCCACGAGTGTAGTGAAAGGAAGTTTTATCATTTACATTAAATAGAGTCTTCCAGGGTGTGTAATGAGTGTGTTTTGTAAAGCTGATAGATGTGAAGATGGGGAAAATTAATATAAAATATAAATATGAGGGTCCAGTCACATAACAGTCTAGTTTAGAAGCTAACTTGTGCTAAAACAGAAAAACTAAAATTTAAAAATTTTAAATTAAACTTTTATT